GAATTGTTACTGAGGGATACAGAATTGTTACTGAGGGCCACAGAATCGTTACTTAGGGCCACAGAAACGTTACTTAGGGCCACACAGAATTGTTACTTAGGGACAGACACAGAATTGTTACTGAGGGACACAGATTTGTTACTGAGGGCCACAGAATCGTTACTTAGGGCCACAGAAATGTTACTTAGGGCCACAGAAACATTACTTAGGGCCACAGAATTGTTACTTAGGGACAGACACAGAATTGTTACTGAGGGACACAGAATTGTTAGTGAGGCCCACAGAACCGTTACTTAGGGCCACAGAAACGTTACTTAGGGACCACAGAACCGTTACTTAGGGACAGACACAGAATTGTTACTGAGGGACACAGAATTGTTACTGAGGGCCACAGAAACGTTACTTAGGGCCACAGAATTGTTACTTAGGGCCACAGAATCGTTAGTTAGGGCCACAGAAACGTTACTTAGGGACACAGAATTGTTACTCAGGGACAGACACAAGAATTGTTACTGAGGGATACAGAATTGTTACTGAGGGCCACAGAATCGTTACTTAGGGCCACAGAAACGTTACTTAGGGCCACAGAAACGTTACTTAGGGCCACAGAATTGTTACTTAGGGCAGACACAGAATTGTTATTGAGGGACACAGAATTGTTACTGAGGGCCACAGAACGTTACTTAGGGCCACAGAAACGTTACTTAGGGCCACAGAATTGTTACTTAGGGACAGACACAGAATTGTTACTGAGGGACACAGAATTGTTACTGAGGGCCACAGAAACGTTACTTAGGGCCACAGAATTGTTACTTAGGGCCACAGAAAATTGTTACTTAGGGCCACAGAATCCTTACTTAGGGCCACAGAAACGTTACTTAGGGCCACAGAATTGTTACTTAGGGACAGACACAGAATTGTTACTGAGGGCCACAGAATTGTTACTGAGGGCCACAGAAACCGTTACTTAGGGCCACAGAAACGTTACTTAGGGCCACAGAATCGTTACTTAGGGGCCACAGAAACGTTACTTAGGGCCACAGAAACGTTACTTAGGGCCACAGAATTGTTACTTAGGGGCCACAGAAACGTTACTTAGGGCACAGAATTGTTACTTAGGGCAGACACAGAATTGTTACTTGAGGGACACAGAATTGTTACTGAGGGCCACAGAACCGTTACTTAGGGCCACAGAAACGTTACTCAGGGCCACAGAATGTTTACTCAAGGGACAGACAGAATTGTTACTGAGGGACACAGAATTGTTACTGAGGGCCACAGAATCGTTACTTAGGGCCACAGAAACGTTACTTAGGGCCACAGAATTGTTACTTAGGGGACAGACACAGAATTGTTACTGAGGGACACAGAATTGTTACTGAGGGCCACAGAATCATTTACTTAGGGCCACAGAAATGTTACTTAGGGCCACAGAAACATTACTTAGGGCCACAGAATTGTTACTTAGGGCACAGACACAGAATTGTTACTGAGGGCCACAGAATTGTTACTGAGGGCCACAGAACGTTACTTAGGGCCACAGAACCGTTACTTAGGGCCACAGAAACGTTACTTAGGGCCACAGAAACGTTACTTAGGGTCACAGAATTGTTACTTAGGGCCACAGAATCGTTACTTAGGGACACAGAAACGTTACTTAGGGCCACAGAATTGTTACTTAGGGCCACAGAATTGTTACTTAGGGACAGACACAGAATTTTTTACTGAGGGATACAGAATTGTTACTGAGGGACACAGACCGTTACTTAGGGCCACAGAAACGTTACTTAGGGCCACAGAATCGTTACTTAGGGCCACAGAAACGTTACTTAGGGCCACAGAAACGTTACTTAGGGACACAGAATTGTTACTCAGGGACAGACACAGAATTGTTACTCAGGGGACACAGAATTGTTACTCAGGGACACAGAATTGTTACTGAGGGACACAGAATTGTTACTGAGGGACCACAGAATTGTTACTCAGGGACCACAGAATTGTTACTGAGGGACACACAAATTGTTACTGAGGGACACAGAATTGTTACTCAGGGACAGACACAGAATTGTTACTGAGGGACACAGAATTGTTACTGAGGGGCACAGAACTGTTACTTAGGGCCACAGAAACGTTACTCAGGGCACAGAATTGTTACTCAGGGACAGAATTGTTACTCAGGGACAGACACAGAATTGTTACTGAGGGACACAGAATTGTTACTGAGGGACACAGAATTGTTACTGAGGGGACACACAGAATTGTTACTGAGGGCCACAGAACTGTTACTTAGGGCCACAGAAACGTTACTCAGGGACACAGAAATTGTTAATCAGGGACAGACACAGAATTCTTACTCAGGGACACACAGAATTGTTACTCAGGGACACAGAATTGTTACTGAGGGACACAGAATTGTTACTGAGGGCCACAGAACCGTTACTTAGGGCCACAGAAACGTTACTTACAGAAAACGTTACTCAGGGACACAGAATTGTTACTCAGGGACAGACACAGAATTGTTACTCAGGGACAGACACAGAATTGTTACTCAGGGACACAGAATTGTTACTGAGGGACACAGAATTGTTACTGAGGGACACAGAATTGTTACTCAGGGACACAGAATTGTTACTGAGGGACACAGAATTGTTACTGAGGGACAGACACAGAATTGTTACTCAGGGACAGACACAGAATTGTTACTGAGGGACACAGAATTGTTACTGAGGGCCACAGAAACTGTTACTTAGGGCCACAGAAACGTTACTCAGGGACACAGAATTGTTACTCAGGGACAGACACAGAATTGTTACTCAGGGACAGACACAGAATTGTTACTGAGGGACACAGAATTGTTACTGAGGGACACAGAATTGTTACTGAGGGACACAGAATTGTTACTGAGGGCCACAGAACTGTTACTTAGGGCACAGAAACGTTACTCAGGGACACAGAATTGTTAATCAGGGACAGACACAGAATTCTTACTCAGGGACAACACAGAATTGTTACTCAGGGACACAGAATTGTTACTGAGGGACACAGAATTGTTACTGAGGGCCACAGAATCGTTACTTAGGGCCACAGAAACGTTACTTAGGGCCACAGAAACGTTACTTAGGGACACAGAATTGTTACTCAGGGACAGACACAGAATTGTTACTCCAGGGACAGACACAGAATTGTTACTCAGGGACACAGAATTGTTACTGAGGGACACAGAATTGTTACTGAGGGACACAGAATTGTTACTCAGGGACACAGAATTGTTACTCAGGGACACAGAATTGTTACTCAGGGACAGACACAGAATTGTTACTGAGGGACACAGAATTGTTACTGAGGGACACAGAATTGTTACTGAGGGCCACAGAACTGTTACTTAGGGCCACAGAAATGTTACTCAGGGACACAGAATTGTTACTCAGGGACAGACACAGAATTGTTACTCAGGGACACAGAATCGTTGAATTAAAGAGTATGTCAGACAAACATGCAGAGGAGTGGCAGAGGAGGCAATGTTTTAGGAGCGAGCAGACGTGGCAGCAGAGGAAGGGGTCGAGGCAGCACTATTCGCAGCCAGAGGCCAGTGCTCCCGGTGTCATCCAGTACAGTGAGGAAGAGCTAACAGAGGGCGGTCAGGAACGGGGGGAGACATCCGCCTCTTCAGCAGCCAGGCGAAGAAGTAGTGGCGAGGAGAGTGGCTCGGTAGCCGGTCTAGAGACAGGTCTGTCTCCTGACCCACACGCAGCCGAGGGGGCTAGTAGTGAGGCGGAGACCCTAATTGATGATGATGAGGCTGATCGCACTTGGCAGCCTCGTCGTCATCAGGCTATTGCTTCCGCATCATCAGGAGAAGAGGGTGGCAGCTTGGCAGCGAGCAAAACAGTCGGTGGGTTGTCTCCATTGCCACACTCTGCCATGTGCCACTTTCAGGTCTCCTCACACACTGCTGGTGTGTTCCATTTTTTGTCATAGGGTGCTGGCTCCTCAGATTGTTCACATAGGGTGCTGGCAGATCCCATAGCTGCTGCCAGGCCCCTAATCTGCCATGGGCCCCTGTACCGCCTCCTCATGCTGCTGCCAGGTCCAGGCGAACGTAGTCACACAGGGGAGGAACTTCTCAGTGTAATGAACAGAGAAATCGACAGATGGCTGTCTCCGCGCAAACTGAAAATCGGAACCATGTTGACCGACAACGGAAAGAACATGGTGTCTGCTCTGCGTCAAGGAAGGTTGTGCCATGCGCCATGCATGGCTCACGTGTTCAATCTGGTTGTCAAGCGGTTCCTAAAATCCACCATCCCACTGCAAGACATCCTTAAAAATGTCACGTAAACTTTGCATGCATTTCAGCCATTCCTACACCGCAAAGCACACCCTCCTTGAGCTGCAGCGGCAGAACGGAATTCCACAGCATCGCCTGATCTGCGACGTTGCAACAAGGTGGAATTCAACCCTACACATGGTAGACCGCCTTTACGAACAGCGAAAGGCCATCACCGATTTCATGATGTTACAAGCGGATAAAGGTACTCCCCTGTGTAACTTCGATGTCAGCCATTGGCAGCTCATGCGTGACACCTGCCGCTTGCTCAGGCCCTTTGAGGAGGCCACGCTATTCGTGAGTCGGCAGGACTATGGGATGAACGACGTCATTCCTCTGTTGCACGTCCTGGAACAAATGCTGTTAACAATGGCTGGTCAGGGTGCGGTAGACGTGGCGCACAGATCTCAACGCCACATGACCCCTGTGGGGGCAGGACAGGAAGAAGAGGAGGAGGTAGAGGAGGACATTTGTGCTCAGGAATTATTGAGTGAAATGGGTGGTGTTTCCACTCAGCGGACAGGAGTGGAGGAGCAGGAGCATCTGGTAGAGGAGGAGGAGGAGGAGAGACAGAGGACCCAGACGCACCGTGGCAGTATGCTGTGGGAGATGGAGGCAGGCCCCCATCATGCTGCCAGGCCCCTAATCTGCCATGGGCCCCTATACCGCCTCCTCATGCTGCTGCCAGGTCCAGAGTCTCTCATGGGTCCCTGTACGGCCTCCCATTGCTGCTGTCTCCATCGCCACACTCTGCCATGTGCCACTTTCAGGTCTCCTCACACACTGCTGGTGTGTTCCATTTTTTGACATAGGGTGCTGGCAGATTACGGGCCTCCCATAGCTGCTGCCAGGCCCCTAATCTGCCATGGGCCCCTGTACCACCTCCTCATGCTGCTGCCAGGTCCACAGTGTCTCATGCCATGTGCCACTTTCAGGTCTCCTCACACTGCTGGTGTGTGTTCAATTTTTTGTCATAGGGTGCTGGCAGATTACGGGCCTCCCATAGCTGCTGCCAGGCCCCTAATCTGCCATGGGCCCCTATACCGCCTCCTCATGCTGCTGCGAAGTCCAGAGTCTCTCATGGGTCCCTGTACGGCCTCCCATTGCTGCTGTCTCCATCGCCCACACTCTGCCATGTGCCACTTTCAGGTCTCCTCACACACTGCTGGTGTGTTCAATTTTTTGACATAGGGTGCTGGCAGATTACGGGCCTCCCATAGCTGCTGCCAGGCCCCTAATCTGCCATGGGCCCCTGTACCGCCTCCTCATGCTGCTGCCAGGTCCAGAGTCTCTCATGGGTCCCTGTACGGCCTCCCATTGCTGCTGTCTCCATCGCGACACTCTGCCATGTGCCACTTTCATGTCTCCTCACACTGCTGGTGTGTTCCATTTTTTGTCATAGGGTGCTGGCAGATTACGGGCCTCCCATTGCTGCTGCCAGGCCCGTAATCTGCCATGGGCCCCTGTACCGCCTCTTCATGCTGCTGCCAGGTCCAGAGTGTGTCATGGGTCCCTGTACGGCCTCCCATTGCTGCTGCCAGGAGGCAGCAGGGTCGCAGCAGTGTCAGTGGAGGCAAACGGCCACGGAGTAGAGCACCAGCTCCACTGCAGCCTACCACCACGGCCAGTAGTGGTGCCGGTGTGCACGGAGGAAGTAGCAGTCAGCCAGTGAGGAGTAGCGGGGGCAAAGTTTCCTACTCGGCGGTGTGGCAATTTTTCGTCAAGCCGCCCGAGGAAGTAAACGTAGCCGTATGTCGACTATGTGGCCAGAAAGTCAAGCGTGGCCAGGGGGCCCATGTTGGGACTACAGCGTTGCGTCAGCATATGCAGCGTCGCCATTCGGTGGCCTGGGAAAACCGTGATAAAGATACGGCGATCCTGCCTGCCCCAGCCCAGGGTTCCATTTTGTCATAGGGTGCTGGCAGATTACGGGCCTCCCATTGCTGCTGCCAGGCCTTAATCTGCCATGGGCCCCTGTACCGCCTCCTCATGCTGCTGCCAGGTCCACAGTGTCTCATGGGTCCCTGAACCGCCTCCCATTGCTGCTGTCTCCATCGCCACACTCTGCCATGTGCCACTTTCAGGTCTCCTCACACACTGCTGGTGTGTTCCATTTTTTGTCATAGGGTGCTGGCAGATTACGGGCCTCCCATTGCTGCTGCCAGGCCCGTAATCTGCCATGGGCCCCAGTACCGCCTCCTTCATGCTGCTGCCAGGTCCACAGTCTCTCATGGGTCCCTGTACGGCCTCCCATTGCTGCTGTCTCCATCGCCACACTCTGCCATGTGCCACTTTCAGGTCTCCTCACACTGCTGGTGTGTTCCATTTTTTGTCATAGGGTGCTGGCAGATTACGGGCCTCCCCATAGCTGCTGCCAGGCCCCTAATCTGCCATGGGCCCCTGTACCGCCTCCTCATGCTGCTGCCAGGTCCACAGTGTCTCATGGGTCCCTGTACGGCCTCCCATTGCTGCTGTCTCCATCGCCACACTCTGCCATGTGCCACTTTCAGGTCTCCTCACACACTGCTGGTGTGTTCCATTTTTTGTCATAGGGTGCTGTCAGATTACGGGCCTCCCATTGCTGCTGCCAGGCCCGTAATCTGCCATGGGCCCCCGTACCGACTCCTCATGCTGCTGCCAGGCCCGTAATCTGTCATGGGCCCCTGTTGTCGCTTGTTGGCATATTCCGCTCGTTCAGATGCTCCTTCTCCTGCTACTCCTCTTCACGGATTCCGTCAGCAGTCTTTCTTGGAATCCGTTTCCAAGAGACAACAGTTTGCGAGCACGCACCCGACGGTGCAGAAGCTGAACGTCCTCATCTCTAATTCTCATCAGAATCTCCCCAATCAGATTGCGTTGTGTTTCATATGATCTCCTCTCTCTTTCTTCTTGACCATCTATTTAACTGCTTTCAATCTCTAAAGCAAAAAAACTAATATAGTGTAGTAATTTCCACATATATTGTAAACGTGATACACCCATGCAAAATATAGAATAATGTGTGAATTGTAAACACCACTATCCACACTAATTACTCTTACCCTCACAGGGTGAGAATGTGCATACAACTCTCCATCACTATAATTATCCTCTTAAATAAGAGTGTGACCATGTTCCATCCACCTCCAATGTGCAAATAGATCAGCGTGCTTATTCCCTTCCCCTTCAGGCAAGCACCTTACCCTTACACACATTGTTCTATATTTTGCATGGGTGTATCACATATTACATTATATGTGGAAATGGCTTCACTATATTAATTTTTTTCCTTCGGCGATTGGAAGTAGCCAAATAGATGCTCAAGAAAAAAGAGAGAGGAGATCATATGATACACAACGCAATCTGATTGGGGAGATTCTGGTGAGAATATATGAAGACTTGTGAAGGATAGTTATGCGCTGTTTGTGCATATGTTACATGTCATGCACCAGGAGGAACCCTGGACCCACTGCACCAGTGTAGGGTCTTACAATGGGTCCAAGGATTTCATCCCCATATCTAATGGCAGTCAGGGTGCCATTGTCTAGCCTGTAGAGGTCTGTGTGTCCCTCCATGGATATGCCTCTCCAGACCATCACTGACCCTCCACCAAAACGGTCATGCTGAATGATGTTACATGCAGCGTAACACTCTCCACGGCTTCTCCTGACCCTTTCACGTCTGTCACATGTGCTCAGGGTGAACCTGCTCTCATCGGTGAAAAGCACAGGGTGCCAATAGCGTTCCTGCCAATTCTGGTGTTCAATGGCAAATGCCAATCGAACTCTATGGTGCTGGGCAGTGAGCACAGGGCCCACTAGAGGACATCTGGCCCTCAAGCCATCCTCATGAAGTCTGTTTCTGTTTGGTCAGAGACATTCACACCAGTGGTCTGTTGAAGGTAATTTTGTAGGGCTCTGGAAGTACTCATCCTGTTCTCCCTTGCACAAAGGAGTAGATACTGGTCCTGCTCATGGGTTAAGGACCTTCTACGGCCCTGTCCACCTCTCCTAGAGTAACTGCCTGTCTCCTGGAAATTCCTCCATGCTCTTGAGAATGTGCTGGGAGACACAGAAAACCTTCTGGCAATGGAACGTATTGATGTGCCATCCTGGAGGAGTTGGACTGCCTGTGCAACCTCTGTAAAGTCCAGGTATCGCCTCATGCTACCAATAGTGTCACTGACCCTAGCCAAATGCATAACTAGTGAAAAGCAGTCAGAAATTATGAGCAGGGAAAAAAATGTCAGTGGCCTCCACCTGTAAAACCATTCCTGTTTTGGTGGTTGTGTCATTGTTGCTCATCTAGTGCATCTGTTGTTAATTTCATTAACACCAAAGCAGCTGAAACTGATTAACAACCCCCTCTGCTATTTAACTTGACCAGATCAATATCTCAGGAGTTTAATTGACTGGAAGCTATACTCTGATTAAAAAGTGTTCCTTTAATTTTTTTGACAGAAACAAATAGTCCAAGCGCTAAGACCAGGATGTATGGGGGCCACTTGCCCACTGCTGCTAGTGTCACACTGAGGAAAGTGATGACTAAATAAAAAAAAACAGTGATGGGGACTGCAGCGCTCCGGAAGTGACGTCACAACAACCAGGGAGGAAGCGGAAGTCAGGCACTGGGTATGGTCTAAAAGCTTGGCTGGTAACCACAACAAAATGTTTCTTTGTCAAGTCTAGTCCTAGACTTCCACTTCCTCCCCGGTTGTTGTGATGTCACTTCCGGAGCTCTGCGGTCCCCGGCAGGGACAGCAACACACTGTGTTTACCATCACTTCCCGGCCTGGGGACATAGGTAAGCAGACATTCCACCAGGGTGGAACATAACAGGTTATGCCTTGGCTATACCGCCTTGTTCTGGATGATTTCTGGATGAATTTTAGTTTAATGACGTTTGTACAGGGGCGGACTGACCATTTGGAAACTCAGGCACTGCCTGAGAGCCCGTGGTCAGTAGGGGGCCCCATGAGATGCCCCTGGTACCTTTTTCATAGGCCCCTGCGTTTGTATGAAATAAATATGTATGAAATATGAAATACCCCTTATGGAATCAATGTGGGGTTCATATTGATTTAAAGCCACAGTTTCCTCAGCGCTGGTTTTTTGTACTTTAATTTTTTTTGAGCAGTGTATTTCTTACTGAACTAAATCCTACTACACATACCTTTGACCAATGGATGGCAGCAGTAAACTCAATACTTGCATAGTAATATGGAGATAAATGTCCATATTACTATATAGAAGAAAAATGCACAAATATAGTGGCTGCCATTGTTGACCTGATTCTAAAAATATTAGTTATCCACTGCCCTTGGCTTCACTCATTTTTAAGTCATTGACCCAAAACAAGCATGCAAAAAACACCTAATCTACATACTTTTTCATATGGCATAAATCTGAATTGCCAGCCTCAGTAATCTCTCAATACACATTTCCTTTAACATATTTATTAGTCTAACCCACAAATTTTGAACCCTAAGGAATTGTTTTGAGATCTTTAAGTCCTGGCATGCACCTTTGTTTTATTCTACTAAAGTGCACCTGTATACAGGCTATGGACATTAACTACTTGCCCTCCTGGGGATTTACCCCCCTTCCAGACCAGGCCTTTTTTTGCTACTCGGCGCTGCACTAATTCAACTGATAATTGCGCGGTCATGCAATGCTGCACCCAAATTAAATTTACGTGCTTTTTTCACACAAATAGAGCTTTCTTTTGGTGGTATTTGATCACCTGTGCGCTTTTTATTTTTCAAGCTATAAACAAAAAAAGACCAAAAATTTTGAAAAAAAAACCCATATTTTTTACTTTCAGCTATAAAAAATATATATAGTAAACTCAAAGTTAGTTATAAATTTAGGCCAAAATGTATTCTGCTACATGTTTTTGGTAAAAAAAAATCCCAATAAGTGTATATTGATTGCTTTGTGTGAAAGTTATAGCGTCTACAAACTATGGTATAGATACTGCAAATTACGCCATTTTTTTGCTATACAGCGCTGCGTTAGTTTAACGGACAATTGCGCAGTCATGCAATACGGTACATAAATGACATTTATATCCTTTTTTCACACAAATAGAGCTTTCTTTCGGTGGTATTTGATCACCTATGCGCTTTTTATTTTTTGGCGCTATAACCAGAAAAATTTTGAAGAAAAAAAATGTTTTTTGAAAAAAACTGTATTTTCTCATTTCGGTCATAAAAAAAATATCCAAAAAATCCAAAAAAACGAAAATTTCGTCATAAATTTAGGCCAAAATGTATTCTGCTACATGTTTTTAATTAAAAAAATACCAGTAAGTGTATATTTATTGCTTTGTGTGAAAGTTATAGCGTCTACAAACTATGGTATAGATAATGGAATTTACACAGCTTTTACTTTCTGACTGCCATCACATTTCTTGAGGTGCTAAAATACCAGGATAGTACAAACACCCTCAAATGACCCCTTTTCTGAAAATAGACACCCTAAGCTATCTGCTGAGAGGCATATTGAGTTTCTGGAAAATGAGAAAAACATTTTTTTTTTTACACAAAGTTGTCATTTAAATGATTTATTTCTCGCACAAGCCAACACTCCACTCCTTCAACCTTACTACCATTGAGGAGGTCACCAAGGTCTTCTCTGAAGCCCGTCCCACCACCTGCCCCCTCGACCCTGTCCCTTCACAACTCCTACGACCTCCCTCCTCCTCCATCCTACGCTACCCTCACCTACATCTTTAATCTCTCCCTCTCTTCTGGCGCATTCCCCTCCCGTCTGAAGCACGTGCACATCACCCCATACTTAAAAAGCCCTCCCTGGACCCCACTGACCCGAACAACCTTAGACCCATCTCCCTGCTGCCATTTACATCCAAACTCCTCAAGCGCTTAGTCTACAATCGCCTAAACTCCCACCTCAACGACAACAACCTCCTCGATCCCCTACAGTCCGGGTTCTGTCCCCTACACTCCACTGAAACCGCCTTACTCAAACTCTCCATTGACCTGCTAACCGCCAAAGCTAATGGCCACTATTCAGTGCTCCTACTCCTCGACCTTTCCGCGGCTTTCGACACAGTCGACCACCCCCTCCTCCTCAAAAAACTACACTCCCTTGGCCTCAGAGATTCCGCTCTCTCCTGGCTC